TACGAGTCATGTCTGCTCTCTCCGTCCGTTTAAATCTAGCAAGCCCCCTTTTTGATTAAACCGGAGACTTGGTAAATTGTGTTTAGAGATAATAACCTAGGTTACAATATGTCGCATATAAGCCTGACATATCATTTATTTTTTTCAATAAAGAACATTGTCGTCGTGTTTCATTTAATTATTTCGTTGGTGCACAACAATACATAAAACTATGCAGTTATTGTTATGACAATTCTTTCAACCCCTTGACCTCTTAGGCTAGGTATTATTGATTCATTTGTTGCAATTATTGAACTAATTTATTTATTTTTGATAATAAATACATTTTCTTTATGTTTAAGATTAACATAACACGATATACGTAAATCTATTTTCTTTATGTTCGTCAGTACATATTTTACAGTGTTGTTATTACCAAAAATAAAGTGTAGTTTTGTCCGTTCCTGGCAGATTTGTTATTACAATTAGCTCTGTTTGGGCGAGCCAGTTGCTCAATTCTATACATGTTTTGTCACCGCACCTTACCCCTGAAGTCACAGCATATGAACTCATTGTTTGCATATGGTTAGTCGTCATGGCTACACCGGTACATTGTTCTGCTGGCGGCGTTTGTGTCTGTCTGTCAAGCTCACTGTATACATACATCGCGATCACAGTCCTGCATTTATCTTGGAGACCGTTCTGTGTTCGAATGTCGCGTTTTGGATCTGGAGACCGACTAATGTATTAGTTTGTAGGTTACAGTCAAGATCGCCCATGCAAACGACTGCTACGCTGCGAGCAAGGCAACGTAACCACATAACATTACTCAAAAGTTAAAGAGTACTTTGTTGTGAGTACTTTTGTTCCTTTTCACGGATCGATTTTCTATTTCCAACATGGCCGTTCAGCAGTTACCTGATCAACCGCAGCCGTTCGCTGTGATTTCCGAAAAATGGCAGAACCGTTTGAGTCTTCCGTCTCTTGGAGAAGACGATAGATACAGTTTTGGCAAAGTTTACGAAGAAGCCTTATTTCAGCTCATACACAAACATTTAGAGCTCGATACAAGCGATCGGTTCGCGTATGTCGGTCCTGGGCGAGGTAGTCTTGCTCAAAAGATTAAGGAAAAGTTTTGCTTACTGGAACCAATGGTGAATGTATTTCCCGGAAAAACACATTATGAAGAAACACCAAATCAACGAATGTTGCCGTTTAAGATTGCACACGTCGGCGCGGAGGAGTATTTTCGTGAACTGGCGGCAGAAGATGATTCCGACAAGATACCGACATTCGATAAAATCTTACTCCGAGACGCAATGGAACACTTCACAAACCCACATGAGACTTTCGTATCTATGATGAAAAAGCTGTCCCAATTTGGAAAATTGCTGATTATCCATCGACCTGGGCCAATGAATACGTTGCCGTTTTTCAGCACAGCTAACGAGAGATTCAACGACAACGATGCGGGTTCCGAACCGTACATCAATATCATTCGCCATCTGCAGGCTATCAACGTCGACGTACAGTGGGAAATAGAAATAGTCCCAATTGTCGTACCGAAAGTCAAGTGGCTGTCCATGTTGTCTGAGAAATTCCCGCCGCAAATGGAGATTGTAAGCAATTATCAGATTTCCAGTGGAGTACGTGAACTCACCGAGGGAATGTTCAAATACCAGGGCGACCACGTCGAATTTTTTGATAGATTACTTTTTATCACGGCCTCTCACCCACTTGTTGATTGTGGCTACCCGAGTATACAACGCGCTGGCCAGGCAGCACACACCCCATACCCAGGACTGATGGACCTTAAATTTAGTCTTAAAGTAACGCCAGACATTCAATCATACGTTCAAAAAAGACAGAAAGAAGAGAAATCAATTAACGGACCTCTGTCATAGTTTCGGAGATTCCGTACGCGATGCAATACTATGTGTTAAAATATAGCTTGAAACCTTATCGGAAATGCGTAAATTTAGCCTTGATGACTTGTGGTTCAGAACACAGGGTGAAATCAATGTAAACAATATAGGGTCACGTGTCTGCAATAGTAGTTGCTTACATGTAACGCTAGTGTCAGCGAAAATATACGTGGAGTTATGCAGGTGGTTTGCATCAATATTTACGAGTTTAATTTTCATCGATTCTGTTGTATTTGTTATATATTCGAAATCGCGTTCACAATAGCCCTCAATCGATCACTGGTCTCTAAAAGCGGACAAAGGTCATTCTTATCTTGTTCTTAAGACTGTCTTTATTCTTTGCTGTTATTTGACCGCTATTCAAATTGAACATAATACATTGCAGCCATTCTCCGCTCGACTGCCGACCCCGATGTGTTTGATGTACCACACCGATGTCTACGTATTGTTGAGGTGAGCAGTAAGGGTCCAATATCCAATGTCGAATACACAGTCAGTTTGGTTGACACTTTATCGTTTATGTTTCAACTTTTCACGTGACGTGAGAGGTCAGCCGCTGACACAACGTATCAACTGTTGACATGGTTACCTTAGTATAAATATACTAAGTTGGTTAAATAATAACACGTAACCAGGTAGTATGTGTGACATCATAATATATTGATAGACACGTGACACTGATGTAACGTTGTTTCAATTTCCATAGCAACAATTCATGAATGATTTGAGTACATAATTTAATTCTGATGTTCAACAATTAGCATCGTATCTGTCACGTGACACCCTATTCAGCAATAATTCTGACAAGAAACAAGTATTGTAAAGTGACCCAAATCATCCAAAACAATTTTCTGTAGTATATTATTTAGTTCATTAGAGGTAACTGTGATCTTAATTTCTATAAAAACAAAGTTGGTATTCATGTCACGTACACACTTTGCATATGTGTGTATGTTCCCATGCTAATTGCATCACCATGATATCGTACTTTCATGTTTTGTATTTCGGATTTTGACTAGAATGGGATATAACTGTAGCTTGCATATTGAATGTCTAAGCGTGACCATGTGACCACCACAATTTTCCCAACTCATATTTAGTGCAATATTTTCCTTAATAAATGTATTCACTGTGAACCAAATATAAATAATTTACCACTGGCTACAAGTTTTGATCAAATCGAAAGAAACATAGTACGATGTCTTATTTTGTGGAAGGTGAAAACAGTTGATATTCAAAGGGTCAAAGGTCAGATCGTGCAGCCGTCGATAATATACAGAACAAGTAGACAGCTAAATATATACCGACTGTAATCACATGTCGATATACCCATATATGGACCACATGTTACAATCTATCACTCATTGTTCTGTTTCAAATAATACTCTTTTGGAGGAAGTTACCCATGACAGCACGATGTCACATTACTATTTAATTCAAAGCATGCAATGTAAACGTGTTTGATTGCGTGTTTATTCAGAAATTAAACAAGTGTATTTAGCTGTGTCGGATATATCGTATGTTTTGATTCATGCATGCTGATACAGCCAGGTTCTTCGAATAATATTTTGTTTTTACTGTCACGTGATACTGAAATAAATTACTTTAATTATAAACTTTTTATTATATATTGGTTTATTTTAATATTTGGGAAGGGGGCTTACAGTCGATGTTTTTGTTTCTGTAGATCACATTATTTAGTATTTACAAATAACGATGACTATTCAGAGACCCAGTGGAAGTGATAGCTTAAGAACACTGTACTTCGTGTAGCCTGCTATAATCATGTGATTTGGTCATGTGATTCACACCGGAAATATATTATAAACATAGTATAGGTAGAATGGTCCATAAAAGTAGCATATTTGAAAATACCGTAAGGTGTGCCCGTGATTATTTTCACATAATACAATATAATACCCTACCGAAATGTACCCCCCCCCCACACATACAGACGCACATAAACTCGAGCAGATATCTGGTTTAAGTAGACACGTTATGGAAAGTGTATCAAGATATAATATCATTATACATTCCCTGTCTTCAAATACAACTTGAATAAATGGAATTGTTCGAGAGAGGTAAACAACTAAGGCCCCGATGGAGACACTTAGTAGGGTCGCCAGTTTTCAATGAGAAGGGAGCATTTTTTATCAGGTATCAGAGTCCGTAAATTGATGTTTTTCTTTGTTTCTCGAAATTTCAGGTTACAAGTTCAGAATAAAAGTGGTTGTATTTGGACGTCCTTCCTTTATTCGAGTATCAACAAAATAAGTTACTTTAGATTTAAACTCCTCGACCTTCTTTTTTCCAGATTAAGTATAAATAGGGATTGAAGTTTCTCCGAAAAGAGCATATATCGTAAGGGCGTTGGTAATCCCCCCTCCCGCAAAGAGTGCCACCTCTCGGACTGTAGCAAAGCTGTCATTTTCAAGTCAAAATAAGAAGATGCTTTAATTATTTCGTCACAAGCCCGTATTTGGACGCAATGGCATGGCAAATTGGTGAAATCCGTCACGTTTATATTTAAAATAGACGCTATTGTCATCTTTTAGTGCTGTACAAAGTGAAAATATACTGTGATGTTAGGGGTGACGGTAGTTGAAATGTGTCAGAAAGCATTCAAAGAACGTACATTCAGCGTATTCAAATTGACGACCTAGATTTCAATGAAACCCAGCTTACTACCAGAGTGTTTAATGTTGTCAATATCAGTGAGTGGGATTGATTCAGTTTAATTGGGAGTAAATTATATTTATTTAAATGTTGTACTGTTTGGTATTGGATTCAATTTAAATTAGGTAATAACAGAACTACGTCATCGTCTATGAAGAATCTAATGGTGGCGTGAGACCTGTATGACAACTTGAACATCTCTCCGAGGGCGCTGTTAATACAAATTGAAGTCACTGTTATTATACTATGTTCATACTAATATACGAATATATTTGTTTCTGTTTGACAGATTTAGACCATTCTTTATCTTATAATATAAAATATAGTCTATAAATAATAAATACCCGTACACCGTTTATATATTCAATATACTAGCAGTTTACGATACTGATGTGTGTGTCCTTTATCAACACGGTGTGGGTCGGTTGGCACGAAAAACTACTATACAGAAACTCCCTTCATCATTCTCTCCGTCGATTTGGCGATACCCTTGGCCAGCTGTCTGCAATTACGGTCGATTTCTTTGAAGATAGTTTTGGCGGAGTCCGATTTAAAGGAATAGACGGCTCGTTGGGATGTTCTTTGAAACTTTGATATCTCCACGGTCAATACGTCATCAGTGAGTGAGTGACGTATAATGTTTTGTAACGGTAACACGTACTCATCCCGGTCATCGGTGTAGGTCATATGAGATGACGTCACTTTTATTCGACCTGATAATGGAATAAATGTTAATATCAGTACAACATGCATATCAACAACGGTAGGTCATATGAGATGACGTCACTTTTATTCGACCTGATAATGGAATAAATGTTAATATCAGTACAACATGCATATCAACAACGTTAACGTTGAACAAATTATTAATAGTGTTGTTTATTTTAAACAAAACAGTGTCTCTTTTGAACGCATGCGCACTTGCTTTAAAATACTAGTAAATATATATTTGTAAATAGTTCCAAATATTCTATTATACTCATGTGTTACCGTGCCCGATATGTACGTACAGTTTAGTTTTAATAAAGGCATTTATTGTGTCTTTACATGTTATTTAGTTGTAGAGGTCCCTTTTCCGTCACGGTGAATACTAATGAAGGGGCTGTGAAGTCAGGTAGTACGGTAAAACCTAGCGACATCGTGTGGGTCAAACTGACAGTACGCAACATGATCTTTCCCATTATATACGGCTGACATAGTGTCCAAAATAAATCATCCCGACCTAAATTTTAATATTTATTGATGTACAATATAAAGTGGCACATGAGATGTCCGAACATTCATAATGATGGAATTATGGGCCGCCGCACTTACGTTTTGCGCGCGTACGCGTGCGCAGTCAGAAACCTGGTGTAACCGAAGATACACTTACAGTCTTGATCGCTGTGGCTTAAATTTCACTACAACAAGTTTATGCATAAATTAACACCAAGGCTAGTTGTCTGTACGATTGTTGTAACACTGTTCAACCAAAAACAATGCCCCGACGGCGTTTTGAAGATAAACACATCGTCAATCATTTGCAAAAATTTCAAAACAAAAGGTCTAGGAGCTATTTTTTTAAAGTTCTGGGATGTGTACTAAAAAGAAGCTGAGATACTTGCTAATTTGCATAATAACCATTCACTCAGTAAGAAGTTTGCTAATGCTCATAATTAAAATGGCTGTAACAGTTCCAAATTTAAATGTATTATCGTTTTGTTAAAAGTTAAATAAAGTGCATAATATGGAGATCCCGTCATTTCTTTTTTTCACCATGTTTCTTTTTATTATTATTTATGAACAGCCTTGCTAAGCATTCAAAAGAGAGAATGTTTGCACCGGTTATCTATATTTTAAAATCGTTTTTTGAGTATGTTCCACTATTAACAATTCTACAAAATTTTAACAGTCTATATCCAAGACTGTTTAGATAATAAAAAGCAAAAAAAAAAAAATCCACCCAAGAGCCCACGAACCTGCATGTCACATTAAATGTACGTGTCCCTGTAATAAAACAACTTATAAGCAACGTGTTCATACCAGGCTGTAATCTAGTGCTGATCAATGAGAGGCATGTCATAAGACGATCACAAGCTGGTTGAAAACATTTGAACATATGACGTCACAGTACGACGGCCTGTACATCGGATTGTAATTCTATGAATATGGTTGTCGATTTGAAAGCTATATTATAAACTAAAGATACTCAAACATGTGTTTTCAATTCTTGTTTCACGTCCGTTATTTGTAAATTATGTCATTAACAACCTACTGCATCCTATTGAAACTTATTTTTTGTGCTAATGCTGGTGATATCAAAGAAATAGGTGTCAAAAATAATGTCTGTTCTATTTATTATAGGTTGCTACGTGACTGTCCTTGTCAAGGCTGGGGTAATTTGCGATGCCAGCAAGTTGACAATGAAATTGCCAACATTGGGAATCAAGGCAACTGTGCAGGTTTAAACTGAAGGAAAGGAAACGCACTGGATGTATCGGAAATAACCAGACAAAATACTAGTAGTGTATGATTGTTAGACATGTACGTTCTAGTGATCAATGGGTAAAAGTGGGTATGGCGTGAAGGAAGAAAATCAATAGGATGTTAAATTATGACGCAGTGGAAAACGTTGTCAGGAAGAATTGTTTTGAGACGAAGCTTGGCATTATGCGTGTAGTTGAAATGTGTTTTTATGCAGGACTAACTCTTCGTTTTCGATGACGAGTGTACTCGATCTGAATAGTAATATTACACTGTACTTGGGAGCGATGCCAGTGTGGGTCGTTGTCATCACGGTATACTTGGCATAATCCTTTGATAGTGGACGCCCTACAAATTAACCCTTTTCGGCTAAGTACGCTGTAAACACGTTAATTTACGCTGTCACTTTCAATGCATAAGGCCATTGAATAGCTAGTGTGTGACGCCGACTTAATGAAATATTGTCGCCTGGTATTGACGAACTGATTTAGAAAGCTATTCGAATAATTGTGGTCTACTAAATAAATTATGTTTTGGGGATCAACACAATACATTAACCTCAAATAGCTATCAGACTTAGACATCGCTTAGGTGGTAGCACACATTCATAATATTAACCATGATCGTTATATTTTGATACATGGTGGTATTCAATGCAGGTCTACATGGCAATTCAATGTTATATGTGAACCAATACCAATATCTTATAGTGGAATAGTAGAATGGTAGTATTCACGATTCATTGACATAGTTGTGTTATTTGGGGAGTACAGCGCAGCGTCAGTCTGTAAGCGTGATAAAACAGGTGTCGAAATAAATCAAATATGACTTGATGTGTACGTTAATCAACAGTCTGTGTCCCCAGGTCTGTCTAAACTATTTTTGCAAAGGTTTTGTGACACCATTGAAACGTCACATTAAACCGACCACGCTTGACAATAATCCATTTTCAGTGGATGCTGCCTAGAACCGAATTTAGTTGTCTAGGCAACGACAATCAAGGAATTCATATTGAAATTAAATAAAAGGATGAAATGTATTACGCATGTATATGTCTCCCGTAGCTTACCTGTTGCCTGGACCAACTGGTCGTTATCTTTGTCTAGTATATGGACCTTATACCAATCAGTTCTCGCTCTAGCTTTACTACTTCCTGCACCCATGTTATCAAGCTGATGGGAACAACAAGTAGTAAGACAAACAAAAGCGACACTTGAATAAACTGAAACTGTGACACTGTTTGTGTTTTTAAAACGTAACCCGATACCAAGTGTTATACAAAAAAGGGCCATAGCTTGTCTCAAGTAGTCGTTTACAGTTGATTAACTGCGGTGCATGTCAGAAGAATCATCGAGCTAAATGCTCCATGCACGAATAAACAGTTTTCAGAAACTGGCATTTAGGTCAGTTACTCTGTTCCCTCGACAAACAAGACCAAAGTTAGGAGAAATCGCTAATATTAGCCTGATATTGTTCTTTTAGTGCATCATCGTACGTATGTGTTAACACACGGGCAGCACCTGTTAAACGACAAATCCTTTCAATTAGTGGTTTAATAAATAAACACGGGTTTAACGTGTTTTTTTTCTTTCGTCCGTCGTCGATAAAAAAATATACTTGTCAATTAGAGAAAAAAGATCACATTTTTACATACCTTTAAAATTACATCTTTAAAAAAAATCAACACGACGAACACACTGAGCCCTCACGCCGCTCTCGTTTGAACTTTGGACAAACAAATGGGCAACGGTGCGGTATGTTAATCGTTATTCCATTCCTCTGCTAAGTGAAACAATTGCGCATGCGTGTTAAAGAATCCGGAAGTAGGCTTCGAGGTCAAGCTAAGTGACTGCATGTGAGTCAGTGTGATATTTGTGTCGTTGTGGTAGATCTCTACTTCGGTGTGTGACGAGTTGCTGTAAAATCAAGACTATAACTTGAAGACTAATATTTGAAAATGCAGGTAGGTATCTGTGCAGACGTTTTATCCAGCGATTCAACTAATCATGTCGTTCAGAGGCCACGATCGGCACCCGATCAACTTTAATAGTCGGAGTACGGCGATATTTACTATTTCAGAAATGACCATATATGGGTATGGGTAGAACAGTCTTGGGCCGGCAATGTCACTATCAAACATATAAGATATAAATAATAATAATTGGCTTATGTTCGCATATAATTTTACTCACATATATTTACTTTTTATTTTTTGTGAAATCAAGATACTAATTACTATACCACCTCGGGATATTATAATATGTGTGAATTAATTAATTGACTCCACCTGCAAAACTCAGGACAACAAAAATATAAAATCAATCACAGGGATAATCAATTAGCAACTTAGATTTAGATATTTTATCAAATGTGTGTTTTTGCCCATATTTGGTGAGTGGGATATTGCATGACTTATGTTATTAATAATTAATAATTGTACTAGAACAATGTCGGTGACAGTATTCAAATATTATTGTATCTTTGGAAAAAAAGAACCTTTCTATCAGTTGTTGGGAATAATTAAAAATTTGAAAAGTAATACATGTAGAAGTAATCAAAAGAAAAATTGTTGTGAAGCTTCTGTTTACAAAACTTGCAATGCTTTTGATCATTTCCTTATCTCTATTTTCATAATGAATTGGGGATTTTAGCAGGAAATGCAATATCTGTCAGGATTTGTTGTTTGTCTATATGATATTTAGGACAAAGTAGCAATCTCATGTTTATGATGTGTTGATACTTATTCTAGGATCCCAATGCAGACACCGAGTGGAATGATATTTTACGCTCCAAAGGAATAATACCACCAAAAGAAGCAGAAGTCACAGAAGATGAAGTTGTGAATTTAGTAGAAGAAGCAATCCAAAACAAAACAAATCCTGGTATGTTGTCCTAATAAGGAAATTTCTGTATGACAATAGAATTGTTATTGAAAGGAATGTGAATCACTGGCCAAACATCATTCACTTAAAGATGGTTTTAAAGTTTTTTGCTTTGTTCGTATGGTCATGTATGTATCATTATTAAAGGGCAGTGGTCATCACGTCTGATATGTTCGATAGGGCACTCATAGTGCTGTACACAACATTTGTAAAATACATAGTGTGTTTAATATAAGGTTATTACGAGTCTGAGTATATTTCAGAAAGGCTGTACTGTACATTGTTTGTATTGGTTGATGTGTAGCGCATACAGTCTTATTTGTTGCCTCCGTCATTGTTCATATGGACTAATAATCTACCATATTTGAACATCCCATCCCGTCTCTAATTGAAGCACATATAAACCTAAAATCGCATTTGTTAAAATTAAAATATAACTTATTTTGACCATAAAGACACTTGTACTGGTAATTTGGGTAAGCACATATGCTACTAATAGCTAATAATACAGTGGCATTCATCAACAGATCTACTACCGGTAATAACACTATGTCATAGTATTTTTTATTTTCAGTTGTTAAATGAATAATGAGAATTTATTTTAATTTAGTGAAATCTTATGATGATATGACATTGGATGAATTAGCTGAATTTGAAGACGAAGAAGATGAAAGAATTTTAGAAGAATACAGGTAAAACAATATTTACATGTCAGAGAAGGTTTAGTCTATATCAGTCTCAGTATCACATATTGTTTTTGTGAGATCTTACTGTAATTTTTATTTATAATTTAACACGTCGTCATCTGAAAGTCTCCATGAATAGCCTAAATGAATGTGAAAAAACAGGGTCAGTGTTGACAGGGCTTTTATGTAAGCACAAGTGATACTAAGATGTATCACATACCAATTCCATGTGATATTTTTAATGTCACATATTTTACAAGCAATTTGATTGGTCGTTGCACATAATATTTCACAAGAGATTGTGTGAAAATTTGGGAGTGTGATGCTATAATTATTTTTTAGTCACAGGCGATAACTGTAAAACTGTGTAAAGACATTCTTGTATGACATTCACAGATATTTATGGTATCTGTTATATTTTATCATAGGCGACAGAGAATGGCTGAAATGAAAGCATTTCAAATGAATGCTGTTTATGGTGATGTTAGAGAGATTAGTGCACAGGATTATGTGGATCAAGTAAATAAAGCCGGTGATGGAGTTTATGTCATTCTGCATTTATACAAGTCAGGGTAAGTGAACACAATCAGCTGATTGGGTTTTACAGTATCTGCAAATTTGTTTCATCTGCTGGCTTACTGATGCAACACAGCTGTATTATCAGCCAATTAGATGATGATATTGCTGGTTAGGTGTTTGTAACAAATTCACAGCTACAGTGAAGTGTCATAGTTATTACAACACATGTAAATAGTTGTATATGTTGCATGAGACACAAAGTATGACCAATCGACTGCTCAATTAAAGATGTTAAATTCAAGTTTTTATCAAACCGCAAAAGTTCTCCTTCCACTTGCATGAAACTTTGAAATGTGGTATGGATTTGTAATATTGCAACTCATTTCTGTGTACATCATAAATGATATATTGAAACAAATTTACAAGCAAAAACTGTTACATGTATTCACTTTTACAACTTTTCATCAACTCATACATATCTGGATAATTGTCCGTAATTCAGATTACATGTACATCAAGTAAAGACAATCAAAACAGTTTAGTACATCAAACATTATTCACAACAATCAAAGTTAAATATTAATGTGAATACCCCTTTGACCTCCATCACTCTAAGTCTAACAATGTGTTATTACACATTTCAGTAAGATTGCATTTTCTAAGACAGGCTTTTATTGTTATGTTAGGTTCACATAATCCTTGGTGCATAGTAAAATTTTGCACCAAAATAAACATTGTTGACAGGAACATGTTAAATCAAAGGGAGACAGACATGTTGAATATAAATAGAATCTGCAATTACCTTTCAATTTATTTTATCTAATCATATTGTGATGATTTGCCTAGGTACATTATCATATCGATATCATAACATCATTATATCATCATCATTATACAGACACTATTCCCGTAACCTATCATAGCGCCCTCTTGAGTTTTATATTATCGAATGTAGTTTTATATTGTTTAGTGAGTCCGCCATGTTAGGCGAATAAATTTCTTCCTGTTAAAGTGTTATCACCGTATTGTTTATTGTGACCACTGCCCATCACACATATAATTGACAATGGCAAAATTATACAAACAAAATGTGTGTTTAGTGCATTGTATATTGCTAGGAAATGTGCACATTTAACTGAGAGGCACACTCTTGTGTTCACTTTGTTAAAAAATCTGTGTTTTATTGATGCTTGTCCTTGTGTTTGTTTGTTCGCAGGATTCCTCTTTGTTCACTCATAAATGACTATCTAATTCAACTTGCAAGTAAGTTTCCAACAGTCAAGTTTTTAAAGAGCATCTCAACTAATTGTATACCCAACTATCCAGACAAGAATTTACCAACCATATTTGTCTACCTCAATGGTGATATGAAAACACAGTGGGTTGGACCATTTGAATTTGGTGGAATTAATTTGACTATAGATGGTAGGTATCAAATTTGTTTTTTCGATCAAAAAACACCTTCTAATAAGTCTAGCGCCCTCTATAGTACCGTTAAAGTCCTAATATAAACCGCATACGTAATAGTAACCGCACCCCCAATTCTGGCTTCGGGGTTAAAGATTTCTTAACAAAAATTGAAAACTTGAAAAGTACCTATTACTAACCGCACCCCAATTCAACAAGACCGTGACTGACTTCATTGTTTCAACCAGCTGTTCCAAAACGGCATTGTTCCTAATCCTATTCATTTGTTTCGACAACATGCCTAAAAATATTCACACCTATTTATTGTTCAGCGGTGATAAGATGTCAGACAGGCAATGAAACTGCTTTTGTTCTGGCGGCGACCTCTGTCAATACTCTTTCTGAATACGTCTCTGTTTCGTAAGTTTTAGACAATGGGCTTTTATCACCGTAAAAGTGTTAAACTGAGCATTGAAGAATAATTTATCTTTCGAAAACAAATAATTTCTTGATTTAAAAAAAAAATCATGCCGTTTTCCCATGGAAATCAAAGGCAAAAGATCGCACTACATTATCGGTAAATCTCTTCCGTGTTGCGTTCACCATGAGGTCGCTGAACTGTCATTAACATATTTAAATGAGCTATGTAACTTAGACACGTGGGCACCATCCAGCATTTTGATTGGTTAATTGGCGACTTGACCAATCCGGTC